CTCTAAAACAATTGTTGCGTAGTGACCTGCCCTTTCGAAGAACGAGGTCACATCATCTTTTTTCACACGCATCAACCTCTCTTCACTTTAGTTGGCAACTCCTCGGAAGGAAACACTCAGACAGCAAAATTTCTCTTGGTTTCAGGATCATAACAATAAATCCAGCGTTCGTCGCTCGTAAGTATGTCGAACACAGCATTTGAGTCACCTCCGTTAAATCTTTGAACCATTTCACGGCATCAATGAACACAACGGAGTTTTGGGCCTCTGTCAAATTATGAGTTATCCATCCACCGGGCACAAAGCTTCCTGACCACTAAATGTTTATAGAGGATTTTGTGCACTTGACTCATAGTGATGCCTAAGCTTGTTCGAATATACTGATAGGTCACTCTTTTGTAAGTTTCTGTCATACACCGCACAACACTGATGTTTTCTTCAGTCGTCGCGGTAGAAGGCCGCCCCTCACGCAGATCATCGGTGAGATTAGTGCAACCACGTTTAAACTCATTAAATTAATTGTAAACTGTGGCACGAGATGGGGCTTCATCGTGAAAGGATAATCGAAGTCTATCATAACTTTCTTGTTGACTTAAATGACATTGAAAGTCATAAAAAACATTGTACCAAAATTTTCTCGCGTTAAATTCATGCTGACGTGACACATACAATTTTCAATTTGCCGCCAAATCGTAAACAAATAACAAATTAATAAAATACATAGTCTGTAGTACGGTTAAAGAATGGGTTTATATATGGCGGCTCATCGAGCCCGTACCGTCAACATGCACAATACAAATAACGAAAACCCGCTAATAACGGTATGCCGTTATTATGTTAATTAAAACATTAGTTAATATTATTGGGTTAAATAGAATGTTAATGGAAAAATATTTAAATATAATTATATAGACTAGTAGACACATTAATTTTAAAATAACATTTATAACCAGTGACCCCGCACTGGCTTCGCTTAGATAAAATTGAATTATTTACAAATATAGATTAGTAAATTATTCACGAAGACTATGAAATAAAACAACGTATTTCTTAAATTAAGTTTATATTAATTTAAATAACAGTTAATAAACTATATCAAATAGGACAGGGATATCAAATAGGCAAAAAACTCTATAGACATTTATTTTTTATGTTTAGTAATCTTTGAAAGTTAAATTCTGCTACATGAACCAGAATCGTCTGAGAGCATTTGATTGATTCCGGACATCCCATCCTTATCTTCTTGATCTTATCATTGTTAGATTGGAGCAGCTGTCGCTTTCACAACTGCTGTTCAGCTCAATATTAATTACAAACTCTTCAATGTCATTTTAATTCGTTACCTCCCTCGTCCGTTAATTTTTCATCAATATATTTAGTGAAATTTTGCTTATTCATTTTTCATCATGGTAATCACCTTTTTTGGTTTTGGCCATTACAATCAACTCAGCACCCTTCAAAAATCCATTTTCTGAACCTGCATGCACAATAATCCGTCTCCGAATAAAAAAAATTAAATTTTTATAATTAAGATTTCTTATATATTAACACCCTTAGGCCTTAAAATTTTATACTTTTCATTATTTGCGATTAAAGTGACCATTATAGTAACTAATAATTAAAAAGTTACAGCCCTGCGACAAAGAGATAGATAGACTTAGTAATAGGGTTCCGTTGGTTAGTGGCGGTGTAAGAATATCTACTACTCCATTTTACCACGTAGGTTTCGTAAGAGGAGACATGGGGAAACAAATCTGGAGATGGGCAGTAGCATCTTCCTTATAACAACTTAAACTAATAAAAAAATTGTGGTTGCCAACCCTCTTGTAAAGCGTGGCAAATATGGCAAAAATCCTCCATATGAGGCAATCTATGGGAGAGGCTTATTCAGTAGTGGACTTTAATAGGATGTAACGGTATACGGGGCACACTTTAAGTATGGAACCCTAAGAACGGACAACGATTGAAAAAACGTGTACTATATAGCGAATACAATATTTTTAATGGTATATAGTCTGTTTGAATCATTAATTATAAACAAACGGATAGATACTTAGACGAATTTGGTACTAACTATCTTTTTTAATTCGAGTGACAATCCTGTTGCCATACACACACTCGCATTACTATATTGCAGTGGGTGATAACATTTCAGATTTTACTCTTCCTCAAAATACTTTATTATGTAATATATACAATTTTACGTAATAGTTAATTAATAATAATTGTGCACTATGTAATGATTTCCCGCATTTACACTCCATTGTTAACAGAATGTAGATAAAATAATAAAAGAAAAAAATCTAATAACGAAATAGTCAACAAAAACGAAATAACTAACAACGTTTTACAATAAATAATAATCAAAAACAATAACGGCGACTTAACAAAATTGTTAACAAAATCAACAATAGTTATGTTAAAAAAATTCTTAGAACGCGTCTAGCTCACTAATTTGCGAAACCGGGATAATTTTTTAGTTTATGGTATTTGATTACGTGTCGGACTGAACTTTTAGCACGTACGAAAAACGCGTATCGCAACAAATTATTTTGTAGTCTCTACCGGTGGGTGTGAGTATAGATAGCGACAGTGTGCGAGCGAGAGATAAATAGAGGCGACGTCGTATTCAGTCCCATTTTTTAACCTCACGAGTAGTACACAATTATATTGGCAGAGTTCCATTATCAAAATTTGAACTTATTTTTTTATTATATCGTTTACAAGTAGCCAGTTCTAAAAACTTTCAGTGTAACCCTCGTATAGTTCGAAGAACCGACAACCGATGGAAAAAAAGGTTCTCGAGTGGCAGCCTCGTACCGGCAGGCGTATTGTAGGGCTCCCACACTAGAATGAGTGACGACATGGTAAGACATGCAGGAAGTCCATGGATGCAGGTGGCTCAGGACTGTGCTTTGTGGCATTCCTAAGGAGAGGCCTATGTTCAGCAGTGGACTTGTAAGGGCTGTAATGATGACGATGATGATGGATTACTCTTAACTTAATCTTGGTTGACTTGTTCTGTATTGAAATTTTTTAAGCCCATCGCGTAGTTCATTTTTTCCATTTTCGTCAATACGCTGCAACAACGCTAACGAATGACCTTATTTGCGTTGTTGTGCCGAAATATAAAAAAAAATAGTTTATTTTTAGGCAGCAAATAGTGATCAAAACGGGCACTTTCATATGTTTTTAATTTCGATTAGTTTCCACAGCATCCACACTATTTGAAAACCCCTCCTACATTATAGTTTCCTTAGTCTTTCTTTTATTAGTAATCTTGCACCCTTAAATATAAAAATAAATAATAAAGGTGACAAGCGAGAACACAGTCCACCTGATGGTAAGTTGATATTATGGCCCATAGACTTCTACACTTAACGTCGCTTAAGAATCAAAATGCAGATGCGTTGTCACCCTTGAGGACTAAGATGGAATGCCTCGATTCCAGTAAAACGGATGTGAGAGCGTGGTCCTTACCCGGTCGAGCCGACCTATTCATCCTGCAACCATAATAGCTGCAGTGTGGCTCTACCCCTCGCAAATATGTCGTCGTCCTCGTATAGTCTAGTCATCGACTGTCGTAAGCGCGATTTTTGATCATGTGGTCTCGGTTTCGAATCACGTCAAAATCTGTTTTATCTGCGCCAGATCTTTCTCCAGTGGTGTCGGGTTGCCGTCCCATGGATTACGATAGTGAGGAAATAGATAGTGCACTTACTATAATCCTGCCGTGCGTAGACGGCTACTCTCGGTTGAGATTCGCGGTTTTGTGACTGGCATTCGGTCTGGTAGACATTATTGCTTCTAAGTATAAATAAAAAACGACGGCTTGCACTCCGGGAGTGCTGGCAGAAGTGAAAACTTGAATAATAACGTTTTGCATTTTTGATATTTTGGAATGATTAGAGAATAATTTTGCACGAATTGCTTTAGTTATCACACACGAACATTCGCGTAAGCGCCCTGCGCCGCCTAAACGCGGAAACAGCAGGCGCAGGCATACATTTTCGCCGCGCCGTAGAAAGAGAGGCGGATACTTCCTCTCCTACGCTGCGCCGGCTGTCTCTCTCTCTCCATCCGTCTTACGAATTTTCGATCAGGGTCACGTGTCCTGACGCGAGTTTAATATTTTTTACCCATTACAAAAAAGTGTACAACGCCGCTAAAGAAGTTTTCACTTCAGGCCGACGGCTAAAAATATTGTTGAAATTCTTCTCTCTTGGATAAATCTCTCTTGGATGTGAAGAGCGTGCGGCGTGAGCGTAGCGATTCGTGAGGCACACATTTAGAGCCGCCGCTACTCAGCATGTTTGTCAAACATACTGAATGCCCCACCACGCTGCACGCTCGGTCTTTAGATTTCCCTTTTCATACCTCAGCTAATCAAATATTACTATTCAATTTATTTCGAGCCTTGCGCGCGTATCCCTTGCGTAACCAAGATATAACCTTTAATTAGGTGACGCCGCTGAGGGACCGTCAATTCGATTCTCGACCTGAACCAGTGTTTGTATGATCTATGAATAATTGTACCAGATCTGGATGTATGTCCATGTGCAATTTAAGTTTATAAACCGCCTCCGCGAGACAAGAGAAAATTTTAGTCTGGTAAAACATTATTTTAAATGAAAGAAAAGGATCATTATCAACCATCGGTCCACCCCTAAATTTACATTAGAATTACTACAATACATAAATTCGTAAAATGATTACATTATATATCATCAACTGTCGTCTCAAAACTTGCGAGGAGTGTCGTAAGACACCTGCCGAAGGCTACTTTCACTACCTTATTTTGTGTTGTTTATCGAATACGAAAACAAGAATACGAAACTGAGTTTTTTACTAAATTTGAAAAGCTTTTGGAAATTGTCTCTCAGAATGTTAAGTGTTTTCTATGCAATTTGCGTCTTTTACTGCGAAGTACTATTATATATTCTGTGCTTTTATATTGTGCATCTTTTTTCTTTATTATTTTTTGTTTATTTTATTTACAGGAGGCTTGTCAAAAGTTATCAGCCAAAGAGAAAAGAAGAAGATGAATACCAGTAAGTTGTATCATTATTATTTAATAGTTAATAGTCATGTTAGTCAAGTTAGCTCACGGCGTGAGTTATTAGAATCAGGTGTCATTTTGCGGAAATCAATTATATTAAAGTTGGTACGAATTACTTCGCCGATATCCGCTCAATGAAATCAAATGATGTGTCTTACCTAGTTGTCTTACTTACGTATTTCGCCTCTACACGAGGCATCCTCAAGTGAAGTAGACTGTGGTGGTTGCACGCAACTGAGGGAGGGCGGGAGGTTCATTTAACGGATGTGGACGAAGTAATACTTACCAAATTTAATATCACGGCGTTTGCCTTAAATTTAATAGAACACGAGCAACTCGGGCTTGATCCCTGCAGAAAAAACATTGAATTTTTTATTTTGCAATTTTAGCTGTAAAGCAAAATATTGTGAAGGATTCCGCATGCCTGAAAAATTAAAAATATTTCGAGAGCATTTGAAGTCCGCCAATGAGCACTGGAGTTGTGCGTAGAATTCCTCTCATAAATGTGAGGATATTTGTATCTAGTGGTGAGAAGGATTTCAGCTACGATTTTACTTCGGCTGAAGTTAAGGTAACAGGATGGGTTCATTTTATGTCCAGTAAGAACGTACCCATTTTTATTATTTCTGGCGTCAAACAGCAGATTGCCTCCTCTGCTTTATCCTGCTTGAAATATTTTTAAATCATAACAACAGACTTCAATTATTTCGTGGTAGTGGGTAATACGGCGATATTTCATCTTACCACCTGTCGCCTTCTTTGCTTGAAATGCGTTGCACTGTTAGCTTTTTGTCATGTTAATGATGAAGAAAAGTAACCAATATTCATTAAATGAACCCATTTACTGTTAATGAGGAATTCCTCCTTACATTCTAAACTGACAGTCGCTTATGTTATGATTCTTTGTCGAGAATCGATTATGTTAGCACAAGCGCTGCATGTCCAACCCTCCAACGAAGCATTTAACACTCGATGTATATTTAAAAGGATAGGGGTGACAAACGAGCACACAATCCAGCTGACGGTAAGTGAATGTAATGGCTCATAGATATCTACATCTATCCTCGATAGATGTAGATATCTATCACCTCCAAGTGAAAGATTGGTCCTTAATTCACAATGCCCGGGCAATATGAATAACACCCAATATGAGTAGGCAATGCGATAAAAACTATTGAAATAATTGATTATCGTTCGATATATTTTTAATTTCAAAAAATAAATAAAAATAAAACATTTGGATAAATTAAAGTAGGTATATATATGTTTATATAATCTGATAATTACTAGTATGATTGGACTATTTGCATCTTATAAAACTTTACACTAATCTTGCAATAAGGTGCGGCTGGGGTGGTATTGTAATGATATAATCGTAAACCATAAATAATTTAAAATTAATATTGAAATATTTAAAGTTTTTAATTTTATTTATTTTTTTAATTAGGCGCGCACTGTGAGCCGAATGCTCGTTTGTTCCCTCTTATATATATAAAAACAGAATCCCACTATTTCACTTAAAATACCAATTACTATAGCAAGCGCATTTTTGCATAGTGCCTATTTTCAAAACAAGGTTTTATTAAGTATTTATTTATTTATTTTATAGGATAGGGTGACAAACGGGCACATAGTCCATCTGATGGTAAGTGGTTGCTGTGGCCCATAAACATCTACATCTATCTCCGATTACGAATAAAAATGCAGAAGCGTCACCCGTGAGGACTAAGATGGAATGTCTTGTTTCCAGTAAAAAGGGTCTCCGGTTCTCTACACTCACCATACGAAACACAGCAGCATTAAGCTACTATTAGCTGGTGTTCTGTGAGAGCGTGGTCATTCCCCGGTCGAGCCGACCCATTCGTGCTACAACTATACTACTAATATAACTGCAGCATGGTTCTACCACGTAAAAGTAATAGAAAGTTGATGAAGAAAGTCCGTAATAATATGAATTTCAAAAATATTAAATATCAATAAAAAGTAAAGCTGCCAGCTATCCTATTGCAATTGGAACCCCAATGGCAATTCTAACCTTCCATTGTAAAATTTAATGACATAGTCTTGCAAAGGTCTTGTGTTTCGCATGTCCAGCATTCCTTACAAAATCCTGCTTTGTGCGACGTTCCATTCGTTGCTTTGAATAATACACAGATCACCGTGGAGCACATATTTTAAAATGTTGATTAATGTTTTATATTGATCTTCAAAAGACATCTATACGTTTTACTTGCAAAGATTTGCGAAACTAAAAAACGTTGTATGGTTTTAGTATAGAGTTTTTTCAAGAAACTCTCCACCAGCATCTATAAAAAGATTCATATGTCACTTCTTCTACGGCCTGCTTGAACGCTACTAGCGCATCTTCCGGCGTTGCGTATGCGTTGCCATGGTGAAGCAGTATAGCCCGCGGAGCCGGGCTGGAGTTTGTTGCTGAAGCACTTGTTATCACTATAAGTAGCAAGCATTTGGTCGTATACCATTCAGTTTTAATTCTATTTCGATTTTGTGAAGTAGTTGACACCGGATCCTCGATATAGTGAAAAAACTTCTTATAAAAATCTTCCCTGCGTTTCTCGAATGATTTACTTTGGTAAGCGTTAGTTTATTTAGAAGCAGTTAAACCGTTGACTGGCGATTCGATTCTGGTTCGTATTGATAAATCTAAGATTAATTACCTGTAATAATGTCGCAAACACACCGAGATGAGCCAACCAATAATTTCAGTGGAGCCAACTTCTTTAGCAATCATGTCTTGGCACTATTCCACGCGGGCCTGCCTCTGATAATCAGTGAAGCTGTGCGGCGACTTACGCAAAATTATCATCCTCCTTTTTTGTGGTAGAGCTATGCTGCAGCTATAGTAATAACACGAATGCATCGGCTCGACCGGGGGGGGGGGGGGAAAAACCACGCTCTCAAAATACCAGCGTAAAATAGCAGCTTAACGTTGCTGTGTTTCGTATGATGAGTGTAGAGAACCGGAGACCCTTTTTACTGGAAACGAGGCGTTCAAACTTTGTCCTCACGGGTGACAACGCATCTGCATTTTATTCGTAATCGAGGACAGATGTAAACGTATAGGTATGGGCCACAGTAACCACTTACCATCAGGTGGACTATGTGCTCGCGTGTGTCATCCTTATCCTATAAAAAAAAGGTTTTCGTGTAAAATCTTGTGAACGCTTCCCGATCAAAACTATTATACTATGTCCTCAATCCCTTCATACGTAATTCGCCAGTTATCTTCAACTATTTTTTTACTACTATTATGTTTCCTTCCGAAGAAGTGATTGCTCTTTGACCACAATCGTCAAAGGGTGATCACTTTCTTCATCTCTCAAATTACCGTGCTGCAATTTGTAATTTTTTCGGCACATAGTTGCATTAGTAGGGTCTTTATTCATAAATGCCATATGAAGATTTTCAAATGATTAATCCGGTTTTAGGCTATTTTGAAATGATAAAAAATCATTGCGAAAATGCATCCTATCCCTGTGCAGATCCATTTTTCAACGAAACATTTGATTTGATTTTAATTAACAGTCACCAATTAGTAACTAAATCTTGACATATATTGCACAGCGAAAGACAAAGGCTTTCTGGAGTTATTCTCCGATATATAATCTTCAAGTCAGAATTCTCCCTAAGACATGTGAATAACTCCGGTTCGTTGAAGAAATGTGTTTTAATCTCGGTAAATCAAAATCACCAATTGCTCACTAAACCAACTCACTAAAACGGAAATCACATTTCAAAAGGAGATGATATTAATGGCGTTTTCGAGTGGAGAATGCTAGCTGGAATTCAAGCTAGAATCCTCCCAGCAAAAAGGCCTTAACTTATAAAGTATTAATTCACAGTAATATTTTTTCGTAAGTCATTAATAGTCACCAATGCCTCACTAAATCTTGACATAGTAAAATTACAAAAGATTTAGGGTATCGTTGGGGAGGATTCCAGCTTGAAAGACGCCTTTTATGGGCTATATTAGAGCAATTTACCTCGTAAAAATGTAAAGAAAAAATTGAAATTGGAACATTGATATTTTTATTTGTAAAGAAGTATATTTTCAAAATAAATAATGACTGACGAGTGCCCTGTTGTATAACTAAAGGTTGATATATAAGAAGATTGTAACAAAAGCATAATGTTAGAAATTAAAATGTAAAACTTATTGATCGAAGTGTAAAACTATAGGAAAAAGCTTTAATCGCATTTTTGATGATAGAAATTAATCTCTAAATCATTTGAATAAAAGAATATTACTTGATAACAAACTCTCTTTACTATAAGAAATTATTCTGGAGGTTAATTGTTAAAAATAATAAAAATGTGAGAGCGGCTGTTCAACTTGCTCTCTTGCTTACGCAGTTAATCATTATCAGGAGTAAGACAGCGTACTGCACTACAAATTCAGAATAGATAGAGCAACTATAGTTCGACCAACCGTAATATGTCCCTGTTACAATCACACACGTGAAGGACGTAATTACATGATAACATCATTGTATGCAAACCAATACCAAAACACAAGGCAGCTTCTCAACAACACGATATTTTTTGTGCCTCCACCAGTAAAATACTCCAGCGGGCAAGTAACGACACTGATACTCGAAGAATTGCCAACTGATCCCCCTAAGTCGCCTGCGCGGTACTATATACCGCCAGAACAGGTGGGAGATTAAGGTTCTCCCCTTATTTCATAGTATTTGCCTTTATATTTTAACCCTCATTTCTGACAATAAAGAAACTAATTTGTTTTATCTATTTCGTTGCAGATATTCAGCATGCAAAGCTTTCAGACAACTGCTGCAGGAGCTGGGCGACTTCGCGGGGCAGCGCGAAGTTGTGGCGGAGAACCTACAGTCGAACGTCGTACGAGAGCTGCATTTACTTGCCAAGGAGCTTCGAGAGGAAAGAAAGGTAGAGTTTAAGTTTTGTTCTGCAATAATTTAAATTTGAACTTATTGCTACTTTGATTGCTTATGATACATAGAATATAAGCATATCATTGCGTAAATATAACCACAAACAGTGTCATCAGATACGTTGAAAAAGTGAGTCTTTTAACGTATCTGATGACATGCTTGTCCGGCAAGTTTAAAAGAGGCTTAAGCAGAGGGAGACATAAAGACTTGAAAATCAATATTTTAAAAAGTCTACAGTTCAACACATGCAATAATTGTCCACTAGCTAGTACTATGGAGGAAGCCAGGACTAAGGTGATAGATTACATTTGCAAAGACACAGTGTTCATTAATCTTATATAAAACACTGAAGCATACGGAAAACGCCAAGGTATACGATCCCATCTCGTTTTTCCACATTCTTATGTACGCATGCATAAACGCGATTGTTGATGCATCTGCTGATTCAAAAGGTGTTCCGTTAATCCGTTATACGATTTGATAATATATTTATTCAAAATATTTCTTTGGATGAATTTCTAATATATAGAAATATTGTTATATATTGCTCCAAAGTCTATAGGTTCACTTATTTTAGATGTTTAAAATTCGTGCCAACAATTCTTTTCTTTCAACAATGCCCTTTTAAAACTGATCACTTAGTAACAATTTAATCAACTCCAAATTCAAATAACTATTTGGCAGCTTTCTTTTTATCAAACTGCTTTTGTTATAGTATCATATTGATCCCGTCCGACGTCTGAACGCTATTAGGTCAAGGCTTGTTATAAGTGTAATTGAATGGCACAGTTGATTTAGGGCCAATGTTGTGTGCCTAAACATTATTGGACCTAAAATGACTTTTGTATGATATCTTTTAGGGGATATAAGGGCTACCTTAGAGGATCACTTTGATGCCCGTTTGATCGTCCGTCTGTTCGTCTGTTTGTCCTGCTTTCTGTTGCAGGTGGCTGTGCTTTATGGCAGTGGGTCGTTAAGTCGTCAGCTCTTCATACGTTTGTAGTGTTATCAGTTCAGAAAACACATGGCTCATGGTGTTTTTTATCTGTTGTATATATATATATATATATATATATATATATATATATATATATATATATATATATACTATTGTTAATTTGTGCAAGTTTGATGTGTGAACAAACAGAGAAATTTATTAAAACCCGATCTTAAGTACCTACTTAAAGTTTTTTTTTAATTTTATTTTTTTCAAGCAAGATCTACAGCTTGTGCATTTACAAGTTTCGGACATATTATGTAATATAGAAGCCTTTATAGACTAATTTTTTTTTTTGTAAATCATTTAAATATATTTTTTCGTCTTCATTATTTTTTATTTTCTTCTTTTATATTTTTATATTGTTAAAATTTTTATGCAACATAAATATTATAGTGGCAAGCTTTATACTATCTATTAGACATCTGTGGAAGCTTCATTGTTGGTTTTAGGATTGGTGTAAGTTTTTATTGTACTGCATGTTTCCCTTAAAAAGCAAATAAATAAATAAAAATAATGATAAACTAGAAAAAGGGACGTATATATTCGTTCGAAAAACTCGTAAAAATTCTGAATATTTTGTTGTAGTTAATCACAATAGCACACCATTTTGTATACGAGTACTAATGGCAGACACATAATGAGTGGTTAGCTCTACTTCATAACACTTGACCGTTTTATCATTCTTTTTAATTTCAGCAACATTTGAGCGAAGGCGCGAAACAGGTGGCCGTACTCAACTCAGCCATAGGAGCACTGGAAAGAGCGCGGAGAGCCTATGAGCGAGCCGCTCGAGAATCGGAAAGAGCGCTTGAAACATTCCAGAAAGCTGACGCTGACCTCAATCTAAGGTATAAATATATGTAGCGGGCTTAACATGCTCACCTTTTATGCGTCTTTATTCATTTTCGGCCAGGATTATTATTTTTAGCCTGCAGGCATCATTCGGGTTTACAGTGTGATTCGTAGCTTAAAATATGTACTTAGTCTGTTTCCATTTTTTTATATTTAAACTATTATATAATTAATAGTGCACCTGTATTTAAAATGTTCCCAGATTTATATTGGTATTACTTTTAGTCTTTATTTTAGTCTGAAGCAGTTTGCTTTTAAGCATAGCTGTTTTATCATGAACACCATTATACTTGAAAGTCCATTGCACTATCCCTTTTGTGCTCTTTGTAGGATTTTAAAGCAGCGATCGCAGAATTCGTTTTTTGGTAATTGCAAACGCACATTAAGCATTTTACCATACAAGTTTAGCATTTTATGAATTGTTAATTTCTCAATATAAAATATACCTTGACTTGTATTTGTTAATATAGTTTCACGTACCTACAAAAAAAATTTAAGTGATATGTGTAACAGACTCGCTCGATATTGATGAATATCTGCTACAATGCGTTATAGATATTTTAACTTACGTGTGTCTAGCGTTTTTTCCTTGCTGTATTTCTTTTTTCTACTTTCTGTTCTACTGTCTTTACAACATTTAGCTGTATCTAGATATCTGCAGCAGCAGAGCCATAAAAATTCAGTGCTGAGCAACGATCTCAACAAGAAATTTTATCATTATCATTTTACATATTTACATTTTTCCTTTGTTTATATTTTTGCAGCCGTGGTAGCCAAGATGGTTAGCGCTCACTATAAAATTTCACAATACGCAAACAACCAGGGTTCAATCCCCGCCGGCGCCAAATTGTTGATTGCAATTTTAGGGGCTGATTTACCACGTGCTCAACGGTAAAGAAAAACATCGTGAGGAAAACTGCATGTCTGAGGAATAAAAATGAGATTAATATTTCGAAGACATGTGAAGTTTGTCAACACGCATCGGGCCAGCGCGGCGTACACTTCCTTGCCCTAAAATCCTCTCAGAAATGAGGGAAGGCCTGTGCCCAGTTGTGGCGTTGTGTGTGGTATAAAGGCTGTAACTTCAACTTCACTTCATATTGCTACCTTTATCCTGGATTTGATATTTAGATGTTTTCGGATGGCTATATCAACATCAATCAAGAAGGATGAAGGATATGTTTAAAAAAAACATAAGGGATTTGTGATACGTAAAACCGCGTATCAATATATCAAGTATATGATGTACAAAAAGGCATAAAATCGCGTCGGAAAGCAGCGCAAGAGATGTAATACATTTAGGACATCGATAATCGGTTTACTTGATGTACCTGATGTACGATAAATTCGCCAAATCGTGGATGAGTTGTAAACAATAACTAATAACAATGTTGCATCCAGCATACAACGGTGTAGGAAAACATGGTGAGGAAACCTGTATGTTTGAAGAATAAATATTTTAGGACATTTAATGTCCGCCAATACGCATGGAGCACCACGGTGGACAAATAGCTCTTTAACCCTTTCAGAAAATCTTTGAGGAGACCTGTACCCAGCTACGTAACGTAAGCCTGCCCCATAGATTGAACTTTAGGAAGGGTATTGGCCATAGTTACCAGGCGTGGCAAGTGGGTTGCAAACCACATATATGCTGTAATATTACTTTTTGCTCTTTATCTAGTGTAACTATATTTTCACGGCACGGTCAACCAGACAGGTTGCAGTGATTATAATGGCGTATCCTATAATGTAATGTCCTTGCCCGCAGTCGAGCAGAGCTAGAGAAACAGAAAGCGAACGTAAAAGCCCGAAGTCAGGCTTGCGAAGAAGCGAAGCAAGAGTACACGGACCAGCTGCGTAAAACCAACGAAGCACAGAGGCAGCATTACGAACAGCGGTTGCCACACGTGTTCAAGCAATTACAGGTATGATTACTACCTCTGGATTTTTGATGACAGATGTATAATATATGTAGCGGTATGTGTATAATTGCTAGTTACAATGGTACTTTTTTATAGAATAAGGGTGACAAACGAGCACACAGTCCATCTGATGGTAAGTGGAGTCTGTGGCCCATAGACATCTACATTAATCTCCGTTTAAGAATCAAAATACAGATGCATTGTCATCCCTAAGGACTAAGATGGAGTTCCTCGTTTGCAGTAAAAAAGGGTCCCCGGATCTCTACACTCACCATATGAAACACAGCAGTATTAAGCTGCTATTTTACGATGGTATTCTGTGAGAGCGTGGTCCTTCCGCGGTCGGCTCACCCATTCGTGCTACAACTATAATATAGCTGCAGCGTGGCTCTACCACGTATAAACTTATGTAAATATATCTTTGTGTTACAATTTTTTATCATGAAGACAATAATCTAGGATATCGAACATGTTACATTCAGAATATTATTATCACTTAAATTAGAATATGATCTTAAGTGGCATATCATGATAAAAAGAAAATTTGTATGATAGCATTTATCTAAGAACATGTTGTCAATCATAAACATATTGCATTTATTGCAACAAGAAATATCTCTCTTTCTTAAAGTAAAGGTAATTCCTATTTCTAAGTATAGAGTAAAGAGACGGGGAAGAAATCTATGGGGACTTTGAATAAAATCCACTAAAGAACATAGTGATACAATTAATAACAGGCGTAGTGTTTTTGTAACATGTTGTATACTTTCATTCATTTTTATTGTATTCATTACTTACATATTTACGACGTACACAGTCTATAAAAGGTTCAATTTGTGTACATATGTAGATTGTCTTGTATTGTTCGACATAGTTGCCACGCTTGGCAAGCGGGTTGGCAACCGCATATTTTTATTATTTTGAATTGTTATCAAGAAGATGCTGCTGTTTTATTTCTATATCTATTTTCTTTCCCTTTCGACACCGGATGAGACGGATTTGTGGATATTGTCTTTACTTTATAATATGTGCTTTACCTTTCAAACAAGAAAACATGAGTCATATGAACTCATGTAGCCTAACAATTGGGTGAAATATTTGCTCTCCGACATGTACCTTGGCGTGTTGCCAACTGGGTCGCGTGGGAAACGACAAATAGTAAAGCTACGTCTATTTCCGATATATTTTTATGTGGCATTTCAATATGCCATGTGACAGTTCATTTCTTCGTTTGTTACGGATATTTTGTTTATATGTATTAAGTGTACGTAAATATTTTTCGCCATAAAACGTTGATGTAAATAAAGGAGAAGATACGTAATCTTATAGAATTAGACACATTTAAACACATTATAGAATAGATAACTCGAAAACACGTAGTCCACGTACGCTACGCACACAAACTTATCCGTACGGAATAATACACTTTATTGGTACAACTATAAGCCGCTTCCAAAATAACATAGCCGGTATAATATAAGCCGGAATAATAAGTCTATGTAGCCGGACAATTTTCTTTTGCTTATAAATATTTGATTTTAAAGACTAAAAATTTATTCTATAAAAAAAATCTTTTTTAACTTTTTTGAATTTCGATGTCTATTAAAGGAATTCTAAGTAATTTTTCGAGTATAGCGTACGCGACAGGCGACAATAGTACCGACCGCAATTCTAAGTGTTGTGTCAGTTACATAGTTTTCGTGGTCCAGTTTTTGGAGTTTACTACCGTGTTTTTCCGTTTTTGTTTTAAGCAAAGGTTGGAAGTAGTATTTTCTGTTACTCTGAGCTTTTATTCAACCTCATCAGCCCGTTAACATTCCATTACTGGATATGGGGCTCTCTAACAATAAGGAATATTTGCAGTAATCGCTGCGTATAGAAGGCGGCTTGGTTCCGTCGCCAGCCTAGGTCAAAGAGTATATAATTAATTTTTGGACAAAGAGTACATAATAATAATTACGTTTTAGTTTAGTTATTTTACTTCTGACAAGTTTTTTATTTATTTTTTTGTGTTGGTTAGAGACGTTAACTTGGGGTTACATTAATTTATCCTATGGATTACATTAGGATTTTTTCCGACATCGTAAAGTTATTCTACATATAATGGATAAAATACAAACACTTGTTCCGTGTAAGTTTCGTATCCGCCGTCAATAGATCGAATCGAACCAACCCCAAGGTTGTTTTTGTCAAAATTCACATGATCTTTTGAACCTTTACCGAAATAAAGAATCCTTAGTAGCTTTTATGCATCGTTTAGATTCTCGCCGGGCACAGACGAATAGGCACTATTAGGAACATGTAAACGCCTTGTTCGGGTGTTCTCGTTAATCGACCCGAGTATTCGCCTGATCTCCACTCGATGACGGTTTTTTTTGTAAGGTGTCAAAGGAATGTATTCGAATCGGTGTTTACATACTCGTCATTATTCGTTTGACCCGTGAACTTTGTTGCAGGTGGTTATAACGTTTTTAAAATAATTATAAAATAATAGTAAGAAAAATACCTATCTACTGTGATGGATTGAAGTAACGAATCCACTATTAAATTTATAGAACTTTATCAAGGAGAACCCATGAAATGGGATCCTAGAAATCGGTTTTAATTTTTTTTGAACAAGGTTGACAAAAATCGAATAAGGCACACAATCCATCTGATGGAAGGTGGATGCTGTGGCTCATAAGCATCTACATTTATTCTCGATTAAGAATCAAAATGCAGATGCGTTGTCACCCCTGAGGAATAAGATGGAGTGTCTTGTTTCCAATAAAAAAATGGTTTCCGTTTCTCTACACCCAATATACAAAACACAGTAGGACTAAGCTGCTATTTAATGCTGATATTCTATGGGAGCGTGGTCTTGCCCCGGTCGAGTTGACCCATTCGTGCTACAACCATAATATAGCTCCACCTTGGCTCTAACACGTACAAAACAAGTAAATATTAATAAAATAAATATTTGAGAGACTACAAATATTAAGTAGACATAAAGTCGTAGCAACGAGATGCACGTCATTCATGTTTGACAGATTCACGTTGAACTAATACAGACAAATATAAACAACGCGTCGTATTCGTCCACGAATAACTCGGCTAGTTGTTTGTCCGATGATTTGAACGTGCCAATAGGGAACGTTTTGCAAAATCAGCTTGGCCAAATCTCGTGACATCTCTTAATTAACACTATCGCAGTCCTCACAGTCAGATGGCTGTTACGGCAAGTCACAGCTGGCTTTCGAATATACAGGTTTGTAGGTAACACATTAAAACTGGCTTTGGTGGGATTTATTCATAGTAGATCCAACTATATTATAGTTCTAGTACAAATGGGTTGGCTCAACCGGGGAAGGATCACATTCTCACAGAATAACAGCTTAAAATAGCAGCTTAATCCTGCTGTGTTCAGAATGGTGAGTGTAGAGAACCGGATACCTTTTTTACTGGAAACGTGGCGTTCCATGTTAGTCCTTAGGGGTGACAATCCACCTGTATTTTCATTCTTTGTCGAGGATAAATGTAGACGTCTATAGGCCGGTTTCCATTTACCATCACGTGGGCTGTGTGTTCGTTGGTCATCCTTATTTTATAAGAAAAAAATTGAAAACTATAATGGTTTTGGGCTTTTATGCTGGTCTACTGGGCAAGGCGAATTTTTTGTAAATTCTAATTACATCTTTTTTTACAGGATTTGGATGAAAAGAGAATAAAAAACATAAAGAATTTCATGTTGAGTTCTGTGGACGTCGAACGGAAAGTGTTCCCCATAATAATGCAGTGCCTTGAAGGAATGGAGCAAGCGGCCAATAGTATAAATGAAAAAGAGGTATTAATTATGTTTTTTTTTTTAATTAATATTAATTTAAAACGAAGTTATTTATAATTTTCTTATATCTGATTAGAGAAATGTAAGACGAATAAAGATCAAATGTGAATTCACCACACATTAAAAAAAACTTTCGAGCTTTTTATAGTTAAAGCAGTTACTTGCGGCTCTCATCCTTTTTCAGGCTTACTGAAAAAAACACCGTAAAATATTATTATATAGCTATTCAATAAATTACTTGTGTTGTTCTTGTGGAACATTAGTTTCATCTGAACTAAACGTTTGCAAGCTATGTTCGTAAAAAATAACTTAGTATAAAATAATGACTATAGTTCGGCCGTTCAGAGAATGCGTTCCTGACACGTCGCGATTGAACTGACGACGTAACTTTGTAATGGCGTTGCAGTTACGATAAAAATATTTTTGCTGGTTGTTTACCGTTTTAACAATTGATGAGCATTAAAACAACATTATTATATCAATAATCAATGAATGTTATAATTTTGTGCCAAACTGAGTGTCAAATAACTTGGTAAACAATATTTTTCTAAATCTATACTGCGCTATTACAAGGTTATGTCAGCGCTTTATATTTGTAGTGCTGTGCTAACAATAACAGGCAATAACAGTATCGTAATCTGTACATCTTATACAGTTATACTTTATAAAATAATACGTTTTGTTTTTCTTTTTAAGAATTTGAAAATAATGGACTATAAGATAACTTTTATTAAATATAAAAATAAAACTACGACCAAACCGAACGCGCGAAAGAAAGTAGCATTTTTATATTTAGGTTGAAAATGGTAACCCCAAATGGCGTTATGGACCGCCATTTTGTGACGCTAAAACAGTCGTCTGTTGTCGTTTCGTGCGCATAGTTCTTCAAGTGTTTTCGATCTGTTTTTATTTGATTTTCGTTTAATGGACTGTTTCTGCTTTTCAAACTGACATCGGCGCTAAATCGGACTTCGATTATGTTTTGTATTGCGTTATTTTTACTTTTGGTGCATAATAATGCCTAAACGTGGACAAACATTGAAAAGTGGAGCCCGTGAGTTAATCATCAAGCTGCATGATTACTTTGAGCGGGAGCGGCAAAATGGCGGACCCCTGTTACCTGTCGAACAAGTACAAGAACGCGTCTCTCAGGCGCTTGGAGTTAGCAAACGAACGATAGCAAATATGAATAAAGAAAAGTTCAGCTCTACTGGCACGGAAGATAATATTTTACGTACTCCGAAGAAGAAACGTAGAACTAAACCCGTGACAGATATTGACATCTTTGACGCCGATGCAATCGGAAATCATATATATGGTTACTATTCCAGAAATGAATACCTCAACAGGAAGAAGATTTTGGCATCGTTAAGAGAAGCTGGACTGTTTAGCGGGGGTAAAACTGCTTTAACCAAAATCTTAAAAGATATTGGTTTTTCGTATAAAAAAACAGACAAAAGAAAATTTTTATTAGAACGATACGACATAATTTTAAAACGGATAAGGTTTTTGAGAGAAGCAAAAAATATTGATAACTGGGATAATGTCGTGTTTATTGACAAGACATGGCTAAACGCCAATCACACGGTTTCCCGTTCTTGGACGGATGATACACAAGTGTCGACGTCGAAAGTACCAATGGGTAAGGGGGCCCGTCTGATAATATGCCACGCAGGTTCTGCAAAATACGGCTTTTTGGAGAACGCGTTACTGGCATTTCAATCAAAAACCACAAATGACTACCACGAGGAAATGAATGCCACTACATTTAAAGAGTGGTTCCAGAACGTGCTTTTGCCCAGCCTATCAGAGCCTTCTGTAATATTCATGGATAATGCCTCCTATCACTCGGTTCAAATACAGAAACCACCTACCCAAGCTAATAAAAAAGAAGAAATGGTGGCTTGGTTACAAGCAAAAGGCATTGACGCACAAATTAAATTAGTTAAAGAAAATAAGGTGGGGGTGCTAAGAATCTCCGGTGGAGGTTCGGTTGCCACCTACGACGACTCGACCTGGCAACATATAACGCACGCACCCTGAGGACTGACGAGAAGATACTAGAGCTGGAAGAAGAGGTAGACAAGTTGCGCTGGCATATTATTGGATTATCCGAGGTCCGAAGAGAGGGGGAGGACACGGCAATCCTCGAGTCCGGCAACTTGTTCTGTCACCGGGAGGGCGACCATCTGTCCCAAGGAGGTGTCGGATTTATCGTCCACAAGTCTCTCGTCAACAACGTTGTAAAGATTGGGAGTGTGTCGACGAGGGTCGCGTACCTGATACTCAGAATCACCAAACGGTATTCGCTGAAGGTCATTCAGGTTTACGCACCAACCTCGGCACATCCCGATGAGGAGGTGGAGGAAATGTATGAGGATATTTCCAGAGCCATACATTCCTCCAAAACCCACTACACGGTGTTGATGGGAGACTTCAACGCAAAACTAGGCACAAGAGAAAGCGGTGAGCTGAAGGTAGGAAAATTTGGAGTAGGGCAACGGAACCGAAGGGGCCAGCAGCTGGCCGACTTTATGGAGAAAGAGGGACTCTTTATGGTGAACTCTTTCTTCCAGAAGCGGCCCCACAGGAAGTGGATCTGGTCGAGCCCCGACGGTTCGACAAAAAATGAGATTGACTTCATTATGACGACCAGACGCCAACTGTTCAGTGATGTCTCAGTGATCGCAAGGGTGAAAACTGGCAGCGATCACCGAATGGTTAGAGGCACACTGAACCTAAACGTTAAGTTGGAGAGGTCTCGTCTAATGAAGTCAACGCTCCGTCCCCCTCGTGCTCTAATCCAGAATCCCGAAACCTTTCAGCTCGAGTTACGTAACCGCTTCCAGTGCCTAGAAGATTGCAATGCAGTGGACGATATGAACGACAAGCTCGTGGAAACTGTCCATGCGGTCGGAGCTAAGTTCTGCAAGACCCGCCGCAGAAGAACACAAAAACTCTCCGATCACACTCTTAATCTCATGGCTGTTAGACGGGAGATGAGGCTGCAATCGTCAACAGATTTGACAGCATACAGGCAACTGAACAGACAGATCTCCAAATGCATGCGGCGAGACTTACGCAACTTTAATACTTCTCGTATTAAAGAAGCGATCGAGCGGAACCAGGGCTCCAAAGTCTTTGCCAGAAATCTGTCTGCCAGAAAGAGCCAACTGTCAAAGCTGAAGACTGAGTGTGGCAACATCGTTTCCGGGACACCTGAGATTTTGAGTGAGATTGAGAGGTTCTATGGGCAGCTGTACACATCATCGTTGGAGCCACACGCAAGTGTGAGTAACGATCAAAGAGCAAGTCTTATCCGACACTATTCCGATGATATCCCGGACGTCAGTCTGAGCGAGATTAGAATGGCTCTCCACCACCTTAAAAACGGCAAGGCCCCGGGCGAGGATTGAATTACAGCGGAGCTTCTGAAAGCGGGTGGAAACCCGGTACTTGAAGTCCTTCGGAAGCTCTTCAATTCCGTCCTCCATGGTGGCACTACTCCGGAGGCGTGGAGCAGAAGCGCGGTGGTCTTGTTCTTTAAGAAAGGCGACAACGCTCTCTTGAAGAACTACAGACCGATTTCCCTTCTGAGCCGCGTCTACATGCTATTTTCGAGAGTCATTAGGAATCGTCTTGCACGCAGACTCGACGACTTCCAGCCTCCCGAACAAGCCGGTTTCCGAAAAGGCTTCAGTACCATAGACCACATACATACCCTGCGGCAGATTGTACAGAAGACCGAAGAGTACAATCTGCCACTTTGCCTGGCATATGTGGACTATGAGAAAGCCTTTGATTCCGTCGAAATTTGGGCGGTGCTACAGTCCCTTCAGCGGTGCCAAGTTGACTGTCGGTACATCGAAGTGCTGAAGTGTTTGTACAGTAGGGCTACGATGGCTATCCGAGTACAGAACCAGAGTTCGAAACCTATCCAACTGCAGAGAGGTGTAAGACAGGGTGATGTTATATCCCCGAAACTCTTCACCGCTGCGTTGGAAGACGTTTTCAAGCTACTGGACTTGAAAGGATACGGTATTAACATCAATGGCGAGTATATCACTCACCTTCGATTTGCCGACGATATAGTCCTTATGGCAGAATCGCTGGAGGACTTAAGCATTATGCTCAATGACCTCAATAGTGCCTCCCAACGGATAGGTCTTAAGATGAACATGGACAAAACAAAGATCATGTTTAATGTCCATGTCACACCTATGCCGGTAGTTGTTGGGAGCACTATCCTCGAAGTTGTTGACGAGTACGTTTACCTGGGACAAATAGTCCGACTAGGTAAGTTCAACTTCGACCGAGAGGTCAATCGACGGATTCAACTCGACTGGGCAGCGTTCGGGAAATTACGACATATCTTTTCGTCAGGTATACCTCAATCTCTAAAAACTAGATTGTACAACCAGTGCGTGTTGCCAGTGATGACTTACGGATCTGAGACGTGGTCCTTCACTGCTGGCCGTATGAGGACGCTTGGTCGCTCAGCGAGCTATGGAGAGGGCTATGCTTGGAGTTTCTCTGCGTGATAGACTCAGAAATGAGGATATCCGCAGTAAAACCAGAGTGACCGACATAGCCCAACGGATTAGTAAGCTGAAGTGGCAATGGGCCGGCCATATAGCTCGAAGAACCGATAACCGATGGGGAAGAAAGGTTCTCGAGTGGCAGCCTCGTACCGGTAGGCGTAGTGTAGGGCGACCCCCACTAGATGGAGTGACGACCTGGTAAGACATGCAGGAAGTCGATGGGTGCAGGTGGCTCAGGACCGTGCTTTGTGGCATTACTTGGGGGAGGCCTATGTTCAGCAGTGGACTTGTGAAGGGCTGTAATGATGAAAGAAAATAAAGCGACAAATGTGCGATACGAAATCGATGAACTGGCTCTGGAGTACGGTCATCGCGTTCTAAGAATTCCACCGTATTATTGCCAATATAACGCGATTGAGCTAATCTGGGCTCAAATAAAAGGTTACGCCGCCCGCCACAATACTTCACCGCCATTCAGCACGAAAAAGATGATGACCCTATTAAAAGAAGCCTGCGGGGAAGTCACAAGAGATGACTTGGCAAAGGTTGTTGAGAAGACTAAAAACCTGATTGTGGAACATTTTGACCGAGATATCAGGATTGATTCTGTTATTGATAATAATGTAATTATACATGTAGGCGAAGATGATGATGAAGACACCACCTCCTCAAGCGAATCGGAGTCTGATTAATATTCTGTACGCACATTCAATTCAATGTACTTTATTGCATAGAAATACAGATTGTAACTTTGTAACAAAGAATAAATAAAACAATTTTATTATATTAATATTACCTTTTTTTGATTTCCACTTAAATTACTAAAATATAAATTTTAAATGATTCCGCCAATTTAAAACGAAAATAATCTTAAAAATAACGCGGCGGTTCATTTTGGAGGAACGGTAACGAACTCAGTGTTATGTTGTGCCCATCACTAGTCGTGACTAACTGATAGGTGTCAGGAACGCATTCTCTGAACGGCCGAACTATAAACTTTGTCAAAAGCATTGTTAATGAAAGGCCAATTGTCAGTGTACGTAGGCTGCAACTTTACTTTGTTTATTTCTTGTAATAGTCGATATTAAGTTAAAGATATTCAAGTCTATTCTTATTAATGAGCTATTATTAAAACTAAAACGAGTTCTAAAAATATCTGCTTTCAAAAGGCAGAATTGTATTCTTATATATTAATAAGGAATACAATTAAGAATAAGAAATAAATAAATATTATATTCTGTTCTATTGCGGCAATTTTTTATGCAAACGAAATTTAAATAGAATAAATACCATGTTGTTTGGATTGATTTTATCATATTAAAAATTCTTTCGTAGGACACGCAGTTAGTAATAGAAAGGTATAAATCTGGCTTTGCGCCGCCGGAGGAGTTCAGATTCGAGGCGATGTCTGGTGCCGAAGTAGCAGAGGTAGTGCCGCAAAATCACCTCACAGCCGCGCGGGGCACAGTCTCCGGACACAGGATCAAGAAACGAGGCGGACTGCTCTCCATATTCAGCTCCAACAAGGTGAGACACACTGCACTTCCGACCGTTCGCGGAAAGAGTCAGAGAGAGAGAAAGAGAGAGAGAGAGAGAGACAGAAGTTATCTTTAACAAGGTGGTTTACACTGCACTACAAGCAAGACGCGATATAGACATAGTTTCTAAACACGACATCAAGAAAACGACCTGTTTTCCATATTAAAGTGAGATACAATGCACTCACAAAAGCTCATAGACTGGGTATCAGGAGGAGCTGCAGTCTTCGGACACCGTGGCGGGTTTCTCGTCATCGTTTTACATCTATACAATTTATATTTATACATACATATATATATATATATATATATATATATATGTGTGTGTGTGTGTGTGTGTGTGTGTGTGTGTGTGTGTGTGTGTGTGTGTGTGTGTGTGTGTGTGTGTGTGTGTGTGTGTGTGTGTGTGTGTGTGTGTGTGTGTGCGTGCGTGCGTGCGTGCGTGTGTGTGTGTGCGTGCGTGCGTGCGTGCGTGCGTGTGTGTGTGTAAATGAAATTGAAGTGTGCCAGCAATATCGAACCACTGTTTTTTATAAAGCTCAGGGATTTATTCGCATACTATTAAGTCGTGCATTATCATTTTTAAATTTTCTGTCTGCGTGGCTGCGCGCCCGATCTAATCTTCGGAGTAATGGCCGATTGTGATGAAAATGTTGGTAATATTTAATCCGGAAAACATGGAGGATTTTTCGTATCGAAAAATATTTAAAAAATAGATTGTTTTGATGATTACTTTATAAATTATAACTACTTATATGATAATATACATAAAAAAGTTTTCAAAAATCAGGTTTGTACATTTCCTCAAAAAAATTCCTAAAAGTTTCGATACGAAATCGAAGTTTGAATTTTTTTTTAATTCATTACCATTTTACACAAGAAATAAACTATGGATGTTAAAGGATAAGGTGTCAATCTTCCTTTTAAACGGTCTCAAATATCGCACATAGCTATTGAGATAATAGCAAAAACTGAGTTTAAAGTGGTTTTGATGGTCTACAGATTTTTTGTCTGAGTTGTTTGTCCTTAATAAGGTGAGACAAACCGCACTGCTAAATGGGTACTAGGGAAATGCTGAGATGTTGCTAGAATACCAACATAATTGAGCAGCAATGTTTTCAAGACTTTTCAATATAAAGCAATTTGATCTGTTAGTTATATAACACAGCCTTTGAAACAAAATCAAACATGTTACAATAAAGAGTTTTAGAAGTGTCAATGTCTCCAAATTTACTACAATTTACAGGGAAATTTTAAATGCTTTAGTTTGCTTGTTTATTAATATGTTTTTAATGAATTATGCATATATATTATTTGTATGCATGTTTGGGAAATATGTTTTATTCTGTTCATCACGTTATTTTATCAAGTACTTTTTTTGACCTATCTTCTAGAAATAGGCATTATCTGTCTGAATGCCGTCTGGTATTTATTTAAATGCTTTGGAAATGGAGATACTAATGTGTTTTTATTTTTTGTTATCCCCGTTCGATCCATACCTAACACGGGTTAAACATAACAACCAATTGATTACATTGGCTGGCGGCGACCGATGTCCCATCCTACGGAAAAAGTAAGTCTCCCCGTGGGGACGTAAGTTTTTAGCATGCGCCACGAACTTCATTCATTTCTACCATTAATTCTTTTAAAAATATTACACACATATTATCATTTGTATTAAACTCACGTACTGACTGTATATGAAATAAAAGTTATATGTACATACTGACTACCGTGTTTCCGCAAACATTCAAGAGAAGAGACAGACTGGTCTCACATACTCAATTTATGCAACCTTATGAAGTTTGGACTTTCGATTTTGCACGAAAAACTATGCATTAGAATCACACTTATCGTATGCAACGCAATCAAACGCGAACTGCGATTTTCAGATCGGCGTCGGAAGGTGGAGGGAATGTTCCTAGCCTAGAACTTACGCGAAGTATGTCATACACAAATAGACCATTGCAATAAACAGCTTCGGCTTCTTTCCATAATTTGTTATTATTCACCCCAAAATTCACAAAACATGAACTTTAAAATGAATTTACAATTTTATTCACTTTAAATGTAGAATATTAGTTTAATGTATTGAACAAAATGTTAATTCATAAAATTGTTCAAAGCGAAATAAAATTACGAAAAATAACTGTCTATGAGAGAAAGAGAGAAAGAAATGTGCGCGCGCACTGCTCTCTCTTGCTTATATCCCCCAGTCAAGGGTGTGTAAAGAAGTTTTAACTTCAAAAGTAGTTTTTTTGTATGTTTATCCCAGTTACGATTAAATATGAGACATGATTTTATATATTGCAGAAGTAACATATTGTATTCTACATTTCATGTATTTTTCAGCGTTATAAATCATATATTTTAACAGAATTACTACCTAAACGTCTAAAACTCGTTTGGTAGAAATACGTTAATAATACGTTAAACGTTATGATTTAAAAGGAAAAGAAATCCATGAATATGTAAAATATGTGTTATTTCAGGAAAAAATCGTAAGTGTGACGTACGAAAGTACAGAAAAAAGTCGATCGTCGTCATTTTCCAGTTCTTTCACTGTTAATAGTATTCTTCAAACTCCTGTCTGTTTATTTGTTCCATGAACCCGATATTCTCGTTTTTTTAAACTAAAACTAAGAAGCGAAGATATTGGGTTCGTAAAAGAATTTTTTTTTCTCTGTGACGTCGATATATTCGTATATGAACTAAGTAAATTATTCTCAAACTTACTCTCATAATCAGAAAACATGGTATTAAATTTGTACTCGTACATCTGCTTAGAAGTTACAAGAGTGTCGAGAGTGAGATGCCAAACGTACGTTTATACGCCAAAGTAACGGCGTTGTATTGCATAGGTTGCGTACGTGTAGCCAGTCTGTCCCTACGCTAAATGTGCGAGGATTAAACATTTTTTGCTTCGCTTTGTTTGGACTCTCCAATATAGCGGTGCAAGTCCTTATTTCCGTTCGTTTATTTCTTTATTTAATTTTGTTTGTTTGCCTTCATCCTGTCCCGACCACGTCTAACGCTTTGGCTACAGAGGATAATTGAGGCGTGCAACTCCTTCAAGGTCAGTTACTTCTGAGACTGATGCTTTGGCTATGGTTGAGCGTGTTGTTAATGCTAGACACATTGTATTGATTTATCACTATATCTCTTAATTATATCTAGTCGGTCCACACAAGGTATAAGGTTTTACATTTTATGATATTGGAGTTACAGTTACGATTGTATATTTATTAGAATTACCTTTACTTGCACGTACATAATTCTTACGTGTGTTTGTGGTATTTGGCTCTTTTTAAAACAGGTTTAAATTGTACTCAATACATACATAATAATTAATAAAAAGTTTGTTAGAATCACTGAAATTTTTGTAGGTTTTATCATAAATTTTATATGGATTGTATTTTATTATTGTAGATCGGATATTTTAATCTATAAGTGGCCCGTAAATAATTAGTGGCCCATAAGCACAAATAAAAAGTTCACTTTCACTACACATATTTTTAACTAACCATTGGTAAAATCTCCGTTAAAACCAACTGACTCTGGTGTTGCATCGTTTATTCTATGCATTTGCGACAGTATATCTCTCAAGAATAAGAAATACCGGATTCACATTTGTACTATAAACACTTTTTATTAAAGGCTAGAAGGATTCTTTTGTAAATTATTGCTTTGTGACGTATCAGAGTATTGAATGCATCTCAATTTTGTGAATTGCACTATAAAGTGACAGAATTCACACACATTACAAACGCTTATGAAATTGTGTTGGTTTTAGAACAACATGTCCATGGACGGAAAGGAGGATTATTCAGATTTGCCACCAAATCAGAAGAAAAAGAAACTACAGGCCAAGGTTCACGAGTTAAACAAGCAGGTAATAAAATTACGCATTATATTTTATATAAAAATGTTTTTAAAATAATTTTTTTAAAATATGATTAACAAACAACTACAACTGATAGTCTTGTATAAGACAAAAAATAGTGTTGTTTGTGGATTGATAATGACTAGTAAAAATTCTTTTACACATTTAGTAGGATTAATTTTAAAGAAAGCATCGGTAGTTAATGAAAATTGAAATAAATTATTGGAGTCATCGATTCTTTAGAACTGAGTACAATTTTCAATGTACGCTTGCCAAGCGTGGCAAATATGACAAAATCCGCCCACGAGGCAGCTTTTCAGCTATATATATATTAGTAGCATAGTTCACTCTCACAGAATAACAGCGTAAAATAGCAACTCAACGCTGCTGTGTTTCGTATGGTGAGTGTAGAGAATCGGAATTTCACTAGAATTTCACAATAAGACATTCCGTCTTAGTGCCTACGCGTCTACATTTCGTTATCGTGGATAGATGTAGATGTCTATGGGCCACAGGCTGTGGCCCTCAGCAACCACTTACCATCAGGTGGACTGTGTGTTCGTTTTTCACCTTTGTCATATGGAAAAAAAAGAGGCTATCTATGAGGGAGGCCTATGTTCGGCAGTGGATTTTTATAGGCTGTAATGAATGGGTGAAATGCATTATAAGACGGCCTCATGGATCAGAGTGCTTAGACTTTACGAGTGTAAATCGGATACAAAAAGTTTTTATTAAGGCTTATTATTTATATATTATTTTTATTTATCCATAATGAATTTAAATGTTGTTACAGGTGGGACAAGAACAAGCTGCAATGGAAGGTCTTATGAAGATGAAGGGTGTATATGAAACAAATCCCACGTTAGGGGACCCAATGACTGTAGAAGGTATGATGTTATGATTTACTTTATCAATTTTGTCTCTTATGAAGAGATTATTGAATTAAGGAACAGTCAGAAAAAACTAAAATACTGTCTCTTCATTTATTAGTGTAATTAGTATAGTTTTTATTATATCTACGTACTTATAAATTAATACACTCTTAATTTTTTTTTGTAATTTTATTATTCGTTACAAAGATATTTAAGAAGTAATAATATATATTTAAATCTCTTTGTTCGTTAAATTTAATACACGGCAGCACAGCTTAGTGGTTAGAATGTCTGAGCACTAAATCCTAGGTTTTTTTATGCAAAAAATAAAAATAATTACTTTTCAAGTCTACTTTTGTGATTATGAGCGTGTCCCTGATCCATCCCAGACAACACCAGAAGAGAAGAAAATGGTTAAACCCTCTATGTTTATTTAACATTTGGCTGTGATGTGGGCCTCCATCATAAAAGATTGTACGTGGTAGAGCCACGCTGCAGCTATATTATGGTTGTAACATGAAAAGGTCGACTCGACGAGGGAAGGACCACGCTCTCACAGAATACCAGCGTAAAATAGCAGCTTGATGCTGCTGTGTTTCGTATGGTGAGTGTAGAGAACCGGAGACCCTTTTTACTAGAATCGAGGAATCCCATCTTAGTTCTTAGGGGTGACAACGCATCTGCATTTTGATTCTTAATCGAGGTTAAATGTAGATATCTATGGGCCACAGCATCCACTTACCATCAGGTGGACTGTGTGCTCGTTTGTCACCCTAATTCTAAAAAGAAAGCTTATGTATATAAAAGAAAGGGAAGGTGTGGCTGTGGTGAATAATAAAGTTTGACGGCTCCGTGGCGCAGTGGTTTAGCTATGAGTTACAGCGCTCAGGGTCGCGGGTTCGAATCCCGCACGGAATAAGTATTTGTATAGCCTACAAGTAATTGTTCCGGGTTTGGATGTTTGTACTTGTGAAATTTGTGTTAGTAAACTGCCCTCACGATACAGGAAAAATCCTAGTGTGGAGGTAACGTATTTTATGGATAGTGACATAAGTCGGGAGCACAAGTAACTTTTTTCTGATATAAAAAGGGACAATTTAATTAACTCCACAGACTTGTTTTCATCCCTTAGCACATTGATGAATTGCCTCAAAGCCAGTTTTTATACTGACTTTCTTATCCTGCTCTTTTAAGACTTGTTAAGCAAACATTTATATAGAAATTGTTTAGGAATATACTACGTGACCAAAACAATTAGGCGCATCACAGGTAAGACGTCATTAGAACTAGGGAGGTAACGGGCACTGAAACAGCATTCCTGTCTTGCGCCTAATTGTTTTGTCCAAGTTGTAGTGTATATATTTATATATTAGAAATCTAATATAAATAAAGTGTAATATCAAACCAACTTTTGAGACTACTGAAAGTAGTAGTAAATTAAAATTATATGATATAGTAATTTACTAGTGATGGTGTCAACTCTTAATACTCACTTGTCGAGTAGTGTTCATGCACGAACTCGCACCCTTTAGCGTCACGCCTCTCGCCGCAATAACAATAAATCTTTTATTTTATTAGGCCAACTGAACGAATGCTGCGACAAACTAAAGAAACTGCGAGCGCAATTACGGAAATATGAAGAACTATTAGCTGAGGCGAACAGTCAATTGTGCGCACCACCGATACATCCTGTTTCACGTACTAATGGTTCCGCCCCACCCGCGCAGGCTATCAGGTTTGAAATAATTTATATATTTCTAATGTCAACCTGACCTTAGTTTTTTTTTAAAACTTGTTTTTTGTTTTTATAAAGCCAATCAATATGTTCATATGGATTAAGAATTTTAGAGGCGTAATATAAACAACGAATAAAGAGTAATAATGACCTCCAGACCGAATTACGGCCACGGCAGCCTGCCTCAACGAATGCTAGCCATCGACGCAGGACAGGATTATAGTGCCCAAGTGTATGTGCAAGTACAGGTGCACTCTCTATTCCCTCACTCTCATAATCCGGTGAGACGGTAAACCGACACGACTAGAATGAGATCAGATTTGTTATCCATATATTATCTACAATTAAAAAAGCGAAAGAGTTTTAAATTAGATTAGAGATAAGTAGAGAATTACCAATCCGATTTGAAAAATTATTTTTGTATATAATAGCCAGATTCACGAGAAATAGGATAGGCTATTTATCATATAGGCTTCACATCTCAGCTAGCCTTAAATGTTGTTTTCGTTAAAAAGTCTGAAGTAAAAGCATTCTACACGGAATATAAAAAACAAGAGGAAGCCCAAAGTGGGCGGGGCATGCCGGTCGGTCACAATTACGGACAGTAAAGCGTAATTGAGTGTCAGTCCTAGGCTCAAATTTTTGCGAGCTAACGTGTCGCTGGTTATGTGAGATAATGCGAAAATATGCCGTTTTGTGCAATATTGGATTATAAAAACAATAGTAAAAAGAAAAATATTTCAAAAGGTGCTTCGTACCAAAGACACGTGTAATTTTTGCTTTTTTGCAGAGAAACGTGACGTAATATGGACAAAATATAACATTTCCTTTATTACATGTAATATTCAACCTTATTTCGTTGTTTTAAGCTTCATCTATTAATACATTTTGAATAAAAATTACTGCGATAGTGTTGTTGTGACTACGCCGATAATAAAGTTTTCGATAAAATTTTATCACTGTCCTGTTTATCCGCTAACATATTAATGATAATGTGCAAGTACGGGATGTCTATGAAAGATACGAAATTATAGGGTGATACCTTATAATTTGCTCTGAATGAACATTTTTGTTAAGTTTTCTAAGCGAGGGAAGTAAGTAAGACATTTAGTATTACTCATGACTTTTGGAAAGTAGCTGAAATAAAAGTGATCTTAATATCATGATCTACGAGGGTGGATTGAAAAGTACTCGGCCTAACCAAGAAAATAAACACATACTAAATCAGTTATATTTTTATTTTTCTACATAATCACTATCAAGTTCAATACAATTTTGCCACTTCCCCTTCCAAGCATTTAGACCGTTGAAAAAAAATGATTCTTCCTTCGAGTCAAAATATGCGTCTACAGCTGCTTTGACCTCGTCGTTTGTCGAAAATCTTTGACCTCCCAAGTGCTTTTTTAGGTTAGGGAACAGAAAGAAGTCTGATGGTGCCAGATCAGGTGAATACGGCGGATGCGGTAACAGTTCAAAGCCACAGTTGTGAATTTCAGCCATTGACTGTACTGACGTGTGAACACGGGCGTTATCTTGATGAAACAGGACTTTTCTTCTGAGCATTCCTCGACGTTTTTCTTTTATTTCCTCTCGTAAACGACGTAGTAAGGTGCAGTAGTAATCAGAGTTTATAGTCTGACCCCTTTCAAGATAATCAATCATAATCACACCTTTCGAGTCCCAGAATACTGAAGCCATCACCTTATTTGCCGACAAAATCGACTTAGCCTTTTTAGGGGGTGGTGAATCAGGTCTTCTCCACTGTTTTGATTGTTGTTTTGTTTCCGGTGTACAGTAATGAACCCATGTTTCGTCCATAGTAACAAAACGATTCAAAAAATCATCTGCATCGGCTTCAAATAACTCCAAACAGTCGCGTGAAATAGTCAATCGCGTCCTTTTTTTGTTCAACTGAAAGCAGTCGCGGAACCCACCTCGCAGACACCTTGTGGAAACCCAACTCGTTGACAATGATGTTTTGAGTTCGTTCATAAGAGATGCCTATAATCTCGGCTATCTCTCTAATTTTTAATCTGCGGTCTCCCATTATTAAATCAAGTACTTTTTTAATATTTTCGTCAGTAGTTGACGTCGAAGGCCTTCCAGAGCAGGGTTCATCTTTCACACTCTCTCTACCACGCTTAAATTCTGCTATCCATTTTTTGACGGATGAATATGACAGAGCACAATCGCCTAATGTACTGACCATGTCATCATGGATGGCTTTTGATGATAGCCCCTTCTTATGGAGGTACTTAATGACGGCACGCTGCTCGATTTGCTCCATTCGCGGAAATTATGTCCGATTACTTTGTTAATAAATTTATAAAATCACAACTAATTATCGCACACGTTTCGAACTTCACACAATGAACTAGTCTGAACTGAACTAAATAATGTGGGTAGATTTGATTTTTAGAATTGAATGGATTTGTGTTAGGCCGAGTACTTTTCAATCCACCCTCGTATATTGTTACCCGAACTCATTATCCTTTAAAATTTAATATTAAAGTGTGAAAACGACAATTTTTAAACAAATATGTGTTATATAAATGACAATCGACAGTTGATAAATTATTGTTTATTATTATTTTCAAAAATAAATTCGATAAATCACTGTTAACAAATTTCCCTTAAATTAATTATTATTTAAATATTTAATTATTTAAAAACATCAAGGTAATTTAGAAGGCTTTTTCATATATTTTCTTAAGCTTTAATATTGACTGAATATCGATAAGTCATATCACTATCGGGCAGAATAACTACATCACTAAAACAATTCACGTAGCAGTATAGGTTAGGTAGGGCAAAGTTAACGTATATCGTATATAATAGCGTGAATTTATTATTGCGTCATCTAGCGATACAGTAAATTTTTCGTCAATCCTGGAAGAGATAAATGATATCTTTAAATTGAGAATTTATAGTGCGTATTCAAATAATCGCGATATTACTGCAACATCTTACGTTAAGAAGTTAAATTTGCTCATTAATTCTAGAACCCTCCTTTATGAAAAGGAAATATGATCTCTATTTTTAAGAACTTGTGGTTCGCACTCAAGCGCATGGTGAGCAACATAAAGCCTTTCTCTTTTATTTTCTACTAGCCAATCACGCGAAAATTATTGAAATGGTGCACAATTGTCGGTACACATTTCTTTCTTGCGAATGTGTGAGTTTGGCGACAGTGGTTCTGTTACAAATTATGCATTTTGCTACTGCCTCTGGTTTTTTTATATTCCGTGGCATTCTCGAACAGCTTTATACGCGTGCGATGGCGTAAATACAATGTTCTACAAAAATATTGATATTTGTTCCATGAAAAAGACAGTCCGCAATCCCATATGCCTATTTCTTAAACATAAGCCACACAATAAGATTTTTTGTGCCAATAAATGTTTGAAAATTATAAAGTTATTTTTGAGCGTTATTATCAGGCATGGGGTATATTAATTCTTACGAACGATAGTTATCATCAAGACAATTTTATGAAGATAAGTTTTGCTTTTTATAGTATGTTTTTTGGACGCATAGCTTAAGAAATAACGTTATAAAAAACGTCGCATTATACTAGCGACGAGTCATGTCAGACACGTGATATACACGGGAACCGCGGGGCACAGCTAATATTTAATTAAAAAAATGTGCCTGCAGCATCGGGTCGAACAGCGAGTCGCTGTCCAGGTCCGCGTCCGAGTCGTCGGTGAGCACGGGCACGGGCACGGGCGGGCACGCGGTCGCGGCGAGCGGCGCGCGCGGCCGGCGGCTCGCCCGAGTCGGGGCTGGGCGGCGAGCTGGCGGCCGCGCACGACGCCAACGGGCACCACCACGACGACCACGATGAGCACGACGCACACGACCACGAGTCCGACGTCGACTACTACTACGAGCCGGACCTCCAGCCGCTCGGATATTGTAAAGCGCTCTACGCGTTCGAAGGTGAGCGTTTTCGTACTTTAGTTTAGCCTAACTTGCAGTCTCTCAAAATATTGTGTTGCTAGCGTTATTTTCTTAGAATATCGTTGAGGTGGCGTCGCAACCGTGACGCGCCACGACTGCAGAACACTATAATACACAATATACTGATAGACATTAAACATTTCCTTTCTTCGATTGTTTGAAGAATTAGTTGTAATACCTAGAAGTAATAATTAGTAAATAATTATTTTACAGTTCTGGTAGTAATCCTCATTTTCTACATAAGATGTTCTCATTGTGGCACAAATAGCACAACAAAACAACGATTTGTTACTATAATTCAAGATTTTATTAAGTTTGTCAAGATTATGATTTTAAAAGAGCTTACTATCAAGTTTAAAAATATGGTAATGATTCTATAATTTTCTAATCATAATCCTTTTTTTATTAATTACAGCTAACGGTACAGGCTCAACCATGCGCATGGAGTGCGGCGAGCGGTTGCTGGTGCTAGAGACAGACGCGGGAGACGGCTGGACGCGTGTGCGTCGCCACCACACGCGCGAAGAAGGCTTCGTACCCACCACCTACATAGCGACCACGCTGTACGCCGACGCACACGAGCACTAGTCGCACGTACGTACCGTATACATATCACCTACATCACGACGACACTGTACGCCGACGCACACGAGCACTAGCCGCGCGTACGTACCGTATACATATCACCTACATCGCGACGACGCTGTACGCCGATGCACACGAGCACTAGCCGCGCGTACGTACCGTATACATATCACCTATATCGCGACCACGCTGTACGCCGACGCACACGAGCACTATAGTTCGTGCCAAATCGATTGAGAAAAACGGACATTAACCTTTCGGTCGTTTAACCAGGGGCTACAAACTTTCAATATATAGGCACTTTTAATATGTAGTACTTTCTTTATTTATAATGATTTTTTTAATTTTTTTATAATGATTGATATAATATATATGTATTAACTATTATTAAAAAGTTATGTAAAAGATCGCTGTAAAAGAAAAATCATCTATTGTTACTTACCATAAATTTAAATATAACACATTTTTCGCGATGTACCGTAAGATTTTACGATGTTTATAGGAACCACAGACAATATTATTTAAGAAACAAAAAAATGAAACATATGTGCTGACCTAGAAGTGTAAATAATATCAATATTTAAATATTGTTATCACAACTAAATTGAGATTTTGTAAGTTACGCCTTTTGATACTCGGCTCATATCTGAGGTCATCGTCCGTTTTTCTCAATCGATTTGGAACGAACTATAGCCGCACGTACGTACCGTGTACATATCACCTACATCGCGACCACGCTGTACGCCAACGCACGCGTGCCTAGCCGCACGTACGTACGCGTACAGTGTACATCACATGTAACGTACACATTAAGACCTTGCACGTGGGCACTATATAGTCTAATAATCATGTTTGTTATGTGTGAATAACGGCTATGAACGGCAATAACAGCGCGCTTCATAACCGATTAACAATTTCAAATGCAGTGTAAATTTACCCGAGTATTCAATTTCAGGTACAGCAGAGCGCTATCTGTCGCTTTGTTGTTGCAACAAAACAAAACGCAACGTCTCCCAGCGACGAGTTGCAACGAAACTATGTTGTCTTTGGGCTGTTTATCGCTTGTGAAATCACACGCGAACACCGCAGTGCCGCGACGCTCTAATTGTGAAACCATTCGTGGCCTAACTGTGTGCAAGTATTTTTGCTATAATTTAACATAACTGAGAGTTTAGATTTATTTTTTTATCTTTTTTAACTTTCATCGCCCGTGGTCGTGGCTAGGGAGGAGATAGGTCGAGGCTTTAAAAAGGCCTGTCGCTTCTCAGGAAAATTTAAGGCTTAATGTGATGACATTGGGTAGTACCAAATTTTCCTTCTTCTCCGCGTAGAAGTTTCTAGCTGCGCCCACGCACGTAATTGTAATAACATTCCATGGTTTTATTTATTGTGTATATTATCGGTTACATGACTTACATATTTTTCATGTAAGCTCGTATAGCTTAAAATAGTTTATAATGTTTAATTGTAACAATACGTAACATGTCTAGATCTTCATTGTGCCAGCTGTTTATATGGTAAGGACTTTTCGTACTTATAATAGGTGATATTATATTGCTTTTATGTGGTTCCGCCGATAAGTATTCGAAATTATAGCAAAAATAGATATATAATAAATACGATGTGTAATATATGTAAACATTAAATTTATCTCAGATAAATATTTTAAAGCTAAATTTCATGTATTCAATAACTATTAATGGAATACGTTATACAATATCACATGATGTATTATAAAATGCTTACGTTAATTGAATCTTAGTTATAAATGCTAGCTAAATGTCGTGATTAGCCAATGCTATTTTCTGAATATTTCTGTATGCAAGAAACAGAATTGTATTTATATATAATGAGGGAAGTATGGATGAAGTGAGTTCGATTTTTATATAAAAATAAAACTATATGAGGACATTATTTTTGTGTTTAATTTAACACCTTCGTAATATTATTAATACACTCAAAAAACTAAATAAACCTTTAATGAATCATACTCAGAATGGGCTTATACTATCTTGTGGGTATTTAAAAATATGCTGAAAAGCATTAATGATGCTTAGTTTCAACTATGAGTAGTCTGAGAGTTCTGTGGTATCCTCTTAACAGAAAACTCTCATCAGTGATTCGTGTAGCTTAATATTTTCGTTACAGTTACAACTTTGCTCCGTGGTTACAACCTATTAAAGTCCACCGCTGGACATAAGCCTACCGCATCATAGGAGGGATATTTGCCATTGTAGACACACTTGACAACCGCAGTTTTTTTTATTTTTAGAAGTTATTAGGGGTATGTTCCGAAACGTTTTCAGTATACTGCCGAATACAAATGACGTCATCAATTGACACTATATTGTAATGTCGTGCCGCCGCCATATTGTGTCCGATATCCGGCCGTAATAAAACAATTTTTAATTGTGTGTGCGCTGAATGAAGCATGCCAGAATTTGTTTTTATTTATTCAAACACAAAAAATTATAGAATAATTTCTGGTATCTCCATTAGGAGGATGTAATGATTTTTGGAGCACAAAATGACAAAATAATCGCCAACACTTTTCCAATATGTCGTAAATGTACGACGTCATATGCTGTCCTATGTTTTGGAACGAATCACCAGTATAGCGTCAATTCATGACGTCATTTGCATTGGACAGTACACTGGGTTCTATTTTGGAACATACCCTAAGAAGACGGTGCTACCCATCTCCTGGTTTTTCTCCCTCTGTCGCCTTTTACGACACGGGATGAAATGGAGCAGTAGTTATTCTTTATTTTTAAATTCTTACGACGCCGGTGAAAAAATAAACAAATATTTATTTTTAATACATAAAATCAAATAAATACTATTGAAAGAGTACGGTATTTTTTGTGCTTCTATACATTAAATAGTTTTTATCTGCCAATGTTTTTTAATCATCACTGAAGAGCGTGTATGCAAATATACTCCAGTAAAAATATACGCGATCTGCGATTATATAAACAATACACAGTTTTAAGACCTTACAGTTGTGAAACGCCTTTGATGTCCAGTGATGCCGCCGCCCATGTGGGTATTTACGCGGCACCGTGTATGCCACCATGTATGTCACGAAAATGAAAATAAAATGATTTCGGATATTATAATACGCATTATCATTTATTAACATTATGTACATAGCTATAAGTTAAAAAAATATTGAACAAGATAACTACTAGAAAAAACTCATTTAAAAGTGTTGCACCGCCAAATATTTTGGTAACACTTTATTTTTAAAGATGTCTTTAGTTTTCGATTGTTAAATTTTAGTTATGTAGTGTATTCGCATTCGAGTAATCAATTTTATTAAAAATATGAGGGGAACCGTCATTCGAATTTAATTTTACTCAGTAACTCATATAACAGTGATTCACCATTTTAGATATTATATTTTTCGAAAATGGCACTTAAAATTGGTTAAATAAGTACTATAAACACGCTTGCGCCTACGCAGGTATAGTCTATCAGACTCAGTGAAATGCGCTAGCATAAGGTCAGCCCGCCCCCTGCCCCACAATACCCCCACCGTTGATCAGCACAAGTACATTCGTTTCTCAACTGTATGGTCTTTAAGCTGTGAGAAACCCTGTTATGTGTTCGTGACGGCGTGAGTGCTAAGCACTAATATAGGTGTTTGTGAAACGCTCCCGAAAACGAAAATAAACTTAAGTAGTAACAATACCTTTGATGATGGAACAAAAAGAACACCGATCCAATGAAATAAAATTCATATTTTCACAAGGTATTCACGCTCCAATATGTTAGTACAGCTAAACGAAACTATAAATTCAAAAAAATCACGAAAATACCTAAATATGAAATCAGCAGTGAATCTTAAAATAAAACCAGCTGACGATAGGATCAATAATCGCGCGGACGCTGAAAAATAGTCTGTCTTCGTTTTCGGGAGCGTTTCGGAAACACCGGTATATTAGTGCTAGTTGCTTAAAGCTTATTGCTTATAGCGGTTATATATAATAGAAAGTATACTATTATTTTCTATGCTTTAATTCTGTGTATTATATTTTATATAATATCACGAAACGTACGTGCGATAAACACAGTTGAATACAGAACGTCCTCCTTTTTTCTTTGAAGTGGGCTAAAATCGCCTTTTTTGTTACGACTTAAAGACGGTGTTAAAGTGAAATTGTTCACCATGGATGTGCTGCCCAATGCTTGTTTTTTCTTTAAATGTATATTTCTAAGACATGCATTTATTTTTACGATGTACTTTATCACCGTCGGGCACGTAGTAAATTAGTACTTATAATAGCAACCACAGAAATCTAAATGATAAGGCACTAGAAATGCCTTCTACTGTCTTTTAATATCAGGACGCGTGTTGCCGGTTCGCAGCTATCACACATAGACAAACAATAAATACATAATTACGCCTATATAGCACTCATGAAACAAAAATTGAACTATAAACTATTGCGTTAAGGTATATTTTATAAAAATGCAAAACGCTACGTTTTGCGTTTTTATAAAATATACCTTAACGCAATAGTTTATAAGGCAAAAGGCGTAGCCACTCGGTCCAATAATTAACGTGTGCGAAAAACAGAGAATGACATTGCATGCTCACTCTCACTTGGGTATAGTGCAGCGCAACGCACGTTTCCATAACTTTCTATTAAGCGACGTTCATCGTCCAGGAGTCTCACACCAAGGTATATTTAACTGAAAGTGTCGCAGTAATAGATAGTTTTAGCTTTTAGACGTTTTATAATTAGAAAAGGGAATATAATAAAATGTAAAAGATAAGTATATCCATTTATCTTTAATATCCGGATCTTTTGGAAACCTGAAATAATACCATTGTATTAAATAAACAGATGTATAAATAAATTTAATACAACATTATAGAAACAGCAAACAAATAAATATATGTATGGGTGACATGTTTATCATTTTTATTAGTTTTAAAGATCTGTAACTGACTTCTGTTGTTTGTTATTTTTCAGTTACCCGGCTTCTTACAGATC